TCCCATCATGCTCTGTCAAACCCCTCCGTCAATTCTTGCCACTCTCTCTCTCTCTCTCTCAAATGATTCGGTGTCGCTCCAAATTTCTCCCTGCCCATCAGCTAGTCAGCCACACACGTCACCGTGGTCTGAAAGCCCTGACTTTGGCTTTACTGCCTCGCCGTCCAGTGTTACGTCACTGGTTTGATAATCAGGTCCTCTCATCGCGTTGCTCTGAAAACCCAGCCCGTGTTACATGAGCAGCAGCAGCAGCACATTTCATCATGTAGAGTCTAAACACCGGATCTAGCCTGGAGTTGTTTTTTTTGGGGGGGGGGGCAACCGTTCGTCGCCAGCTGGCTGATGTGGGATCCGAGGTCCAGTGCATGGTGCCTCTCGCGAGTACCTAGTAGGGACACCATTCAAGCACCAAAAAAGCACCGAAATGCTTTTAAACCTTAAACAGAAGTTAAAACAAAACATTTAAAACAAATAAAGTTAAACAGACGGTAAGTAGACGAAACTTTTATGAAGTTCTGGGAATGTTTGGCGGGCCAAAACATACTCTCAGAGGTTGTGAGGGGGGGGGGGCATGGCCCGGTGCTCCCCCCCCCCCCCCAGGGTCCGCCTATGAGTCTAAAGACTGTTCTGTGCCTTACACGCATCTGGGCCTACACCTAGATTATCTTATTATGTCGTATATTGTGCATTTTGCTGGCATCAGATAATAACTGATTGAAATGAGCTGTCGTTTTACAATGGAATGACCAGCCTACGTAGTACTAAAAGCAATCTTGTCTCGGAAGCTGTTAAGCCTCTAACGTTAACCAAAGCTGTTTCGCTGCTGTATGATTTTGGCGTGAGCCCAAATCGGCGTTGTAGCATCAATGACGCCAAATAAGGATGCCGCACAATGTGTCCCGATTTCCTCCAGCGTCGTCATTGTGTCTGCGACTCCGGTAGTTGGGTCGATGTTCGACATGTACGAGAGACGCTCACTCCTCGTTAGTATAGTGGTGAGTATCCCCGCCTGTCACGCGGGAGACCGGGGTTCGATTCCCCGACGGGGAGAGTTTTCTTCAGGATCAGATAAGCTTCGCACAGGCAGGTTTTCCTGTCCGATGCACGTGATCGTTGCAGCGCCCGTCGTCGGGCGCTGCAACGATCTGGCGTCCGCTCAGAACTCGTCGGCGCTACGAATTCGCTAGTCTTGTGTTGAATGAACCGTCAATGGGATTGCGAAGTTGATCGGTTTGCTGTGCCCGCTCTACTCTTTTACGTCCGCGGCGCGGGCCGTGTCCGCGCGCGCCGTCGGCTCCCGCAGCGGTGGCGCCGGCGCGCACCCGCCGACTCCCGCAGGGCGCCGCCCGCGCGGCCGGCGGTGGCTCGCCCCCGCGCCGCCGCGGCGGTGACGTCATGATAGCGCCGGGGTACGCAGCTACAGCTGCCGGCCAGGGACGCTCCGCTGGCGATCATGCTTCTGCCGGGAGGCTTGTGGGCTTGGGGGCTTGGGGGCTTGGGGCTGTCGATGTGCGACCCTCTTGCCATTTCCGAAATAATGACGATAGAGGGTAGCGAGAAAACGGTAGTGAGTTGATCGCAACGGGACATCACGACTGATAATAATCTGCATACTTCTTGGGCAATAACTGAGCTCACTATGCCAGATCAAAGGGCAAACTTTCCGGACAGTCGCGTTTGTTCAGCCTTACAATATAAAAAATACGACACCTTGTAGGAGCAAAATACCTATATTTGCTTGTTTCTTGTTACATTTTGAGACCATTGATGTATATATCTGTATTTTGAGCACAAAATCATGACATATGGTTCCGTTAGTGGTCATAATGTCGGTCTGCCGCGCGCGTTCCATCGTCAGCTACCGCCCGCCCGCCTGCTCAGGCTGTTGATGGCCACGCGGTGTTGCTCAAAAACCGCCGCTGCTCCGAAATCAGAAAAGCTAGGAACACGTTTCTCGTGTCAAAACACACGCAATATGGAATCCCTGTAGGCTAATAAATTTTTTAGTGTAATTGCACAACATGCCGGAAAGGTATCATCAAACCTCTAAGTAGGAAAGGGGGGGGGGGGGCGCGGGACAGTGCATCCCCTCCCCCCCCCCCCTACTATCAGGGCGAGGATTAATTTAAAACATTGAACGTGTGGTTCCCACGTGCTTCCCTGCCTCAGCAGCCAATACCGCTAGTGCTGCCAGCACTGTCTACATCAGCGTAAAATTGCCTCGTGTTTCTTTAATCCATAATGTATTTTAGTTCAAATGTCGTACACTATTTGGTGCACATGCATTTCTTAGTCCTATGGCCCACGCAAAACTTTCATGCCGTAAAACTGCGCACATATTCCAGATGCGTCATGCATGCTGTCATCTGCCTGGACCGGCTATCTTTGACCAATGAAAACCTTTATTCTATTATTGCTCAAGCTTTTCCGATCTGTGTTTTGTGTACTTACGCGTGTAATATATAGATAGAGAGAGAGAGAGAGAGAGAGAGAGAGAGAGAAGAGAGAGAGAGAAGAGAGAGAGAGAGAGAGAGAAGAATAGAGAGAGAGAGAGAGAGAGAGAAGAGGAGAGAGAGAGATAGAGAGAGAGAGAGAGAGAGAGAGAGAGAGAGAGAGAGAGAGAGAAGAGAGAGAAGAGAGAGAGAGAGAGAGAGAGAGAGAGAGAGAGAGAAGAGAGAGAGAGAGAGAGAGAGAGAGAGAGAGAGAGAAGAGAGAGGAGAGAGAGAGAGAGAGAGAGAGAGAGAGAGAGAGATAGAGAGAGAGAGAGAGAGAGAGAGAGAGAGAGAAAGATAGAGAGAGAGAGAGAGGAGAGAGAGAGAGAGAGAGAGAGAGAGAGAGAGAGAGAGAGAGAGAGAGAGCAGAGAGAGAGAGAGAGAGAGAGAGGAGAGAAGAGAGAGAGAGAGAGATGAGGAGAAGAGAAGCGGAGATGAGAGAGCGAAGAGAGAGAGCTGAAGAGAGGAGAGAGAGAGAGAGAGAGAGAGGAGAGCGAAGAGATAGAGAGAGCTCTCTCGCTATCTAGAGATAAGAGAGAGAATAGAGAAGAAATAGTCTTCTCTACGAAGAGGATCCTGAGTTCTCTCGAGGAGAGGACGAGAGCGACCCACAGAGAGCACTCAACTGAGAGACGAGAGAGGGAGGAGGATAGAGAAGAGAGATGAGAGAGAGAGAGAGAGAGAGAGTTCAAGTGCACATGCGTGCGTGTGTACGTGCGTGCGGCGTGCGTGCGCGCGTTTTCTAAAATAATTTCAACGGCACAGAATCTGCGCACCTTGCATCCCCTCATAATCGAACTGCTCTCCCTTGTAAAGATTGCGTGTTTGAGATGGCTATACAAATCGTCCAGCGTGCAGGTGACACCGGTCCAGCTGGCGGCGTGCAGACCGCCACAGTGGCCAATTGTCGACGATGTGTCCAGCCGAACCACAAACACTTGATACTTGAGCCTGATGTCGCAATAGCAAGTGTCGTTCGTCTGTTCCAGCGAGCTGCTGTCTCTGCAGACAACACACACGCCGCCACTCCGGCCTGGTCAGGCGGAGGAGCAGCCCGGAAACGCAGCCACCTGTCGCCAACAGCAGCAGCCAGCTATCGGATTCACTCAGTCACGGCATGTGGATGTCATTACTTCACTTGCAATAACAGGTTCGCTGCATCCAAAGACGGCACCAGCGAGCGGTCATTTCAATGCCGGCGGTGACCCGCACGGCGGCGGCGGCGGCGACTGCGGCCAGGTGACGCGCCGCAGGTCCGCTGGCGCAGGCCGTCGCCGGTGGACAACCAGCTGGCACCAGCGGAGCGCGCTGGCATGACGGCAGATCCGACGAGCCAACCGAGCGGGCGGAGAGGCAGCGGCGCACCTGCGCGCGGATGTCAGCGTGGGTTCCGCGCCTCCCTCCCCGCCAGGCACGAGACCGCCCCTGCTTCCCCGACCGGGCCAAAACGGTCGCAACTCCTCCGGCCTTTATGGTAGTGCACCGCGCGTGCGTACTCCGCTACTACCGTGTCGTAGGAGGCCACGTCCCGCTCACGGTGCTCCTCGCCCGGCTTTACCGCGTCAAGCCCACAGATACGGCTGGCTGGGGTGCTACCACAGCACTGCTGTCGTAGTGAGAGCGCTGACTTTGGTGTGTCAGTCTTTCTGTGATGATGTATATGCTCCCACGCCGGAGCCCGCTGTAGGAGTGGTTATCTTACCCCCACGCCGGGACCCGCTGCAGGGGCGGTTATCTCACTCCCACTCCTCCCCCCCCCCCCCCCAGCCAGCTGCGGCAGGCCAGGCGGGGTGAACTGGCCTGTTCGTATCTTAACAGTAGGATGGCGTTAGACGCGGTCGGCAGCACTTGCACCATCTGATGTTTTGCGCGATCTTCGGCACGGCAAGGGTGCTGGGAAAGGGATTCTCGAAGGTTGTCTTATCCTGTTCGTCGCGGTGGCGTCATCGCACAATAAAACCCAGGACTTGTGCCGCGTTTTGCCGTTAGGCAACTCTGCAGGCCTTACGCAAGCGCTATGGTCACAAGCACCGGTGTGTCCAGGACAGGTGTAATGTGCGATGCTCTGATGTTCAACGCACGCCTTTGCGGGTTTTCACGCTTAGTTGGTTTATGCCCAGCACATGCAGAACCCAATTCTGCCCCCCCCCCCCCCCCCCCTCCACGTGCCTTGTCTGACTCCTCAGCACTGATATATCCGTTGCCAAGCCTGGCCTCACTCCAAACACGGTCCTCCTGGCTGATGTCGCTCGGCGCGCTGCTGCCGGCCGGCCGCTGATGCGTCCGGGCGGGTCCCGCAGGACGTGTCGTCAGGGGGCGGGCCGCGTGCGTCCCGTCACCCGCCATCCGCCGCCGGCCGCCGGCGGGTGGCCGCCTCAGCAGCGCGGCACCGGCGCACCGGCCGCTTTCTCCAGCGCCGGGCGGCAGTTCGGCCGCCGGCCGCAGTGTGGCGCTGATGGGCAACCGCGAGCGCCGGGGTGCGGGCAGCCGGCCGGCGGCAGTGACACGATGACCGGGATGGTGGTGCGTGGGGATGCGAGAGGCGTGGTACCGCTGCTAGCGTTGCTGCTGCTGCTGCTGCCGCACACGCCGGCCGCCCAGGACAGCTACGAGACGCTGGAGAATGCGCCGTCCAAGGCGGACATTGCCGAGAAAGTCCGCGAGCTCTTCGAGGAGTTCTTTGCGTGGAGATTGGAGGATAATCCGGAGTTCGCCACACAGGTAAATCGGAACGATCGAAGGGAAAACCGTCGAGTCAAAGATCTGGGAAACCGGAACTGGCAAGCAGAACAATGTGGGCTGCTCTCAGTTGCAGCGTTACCCACGCCACCGGCCCACAAACCCGCTGTGTACTTCCTTTGCGCGTGTGTAGCTGCCTTTTGCCTGACTTCTTGAACTGCCAACGCATACCCAGAGCCGTGTGATAGAGTGATGACAGGCCACGGTTCAGCGGGCAGTGTTTTGCACAGCTGTCTGCTGTCACTGACGCCCGGGACGGGTTCATTTGGGGAAGGGGGCGGGGCAACGGACACGTGCAAATTTGCAAGCATGAATATGCATTACTATGCATGGGAATGAACGCTGGCAGTGAAAAATTGCAGAAGGCACGAAAGAAATCAGGGGATTGAAAACATGTGAGGCTGTTATAAGCTGTGCCAGAAATTGCGCTAATTCCATTGTGTTCTTCCATACGCCCCTAACAGACGCCTTAGCGTGCATTGGAACCCTATCGTTCATCAGTGGAACACGCCCGATTAGCATTAATACCTTTGCACAACGTGAAAGTTCGTTTTTGCCCGGGCCTCGATGCGGGGGACTCCCAGGCCTGGTCTGGAGCCAGGATCCGGCCTTCGGTAATGCGCTAACATCACGCCCCCGTGCCCCGTGTACTGGCTACACCTGACAGGTCTGCCGGCCGCGTGCAGGTGGAGGGATGCGGGGGGAGTCATCCAAGGGCGCCTGCGACAGGAGCAGCAACATCCGAATCGCGTCTGCGTATTCCGCGGAGCGCCCCTCTCCATCGCCGCCACCCGCCCCCCCCCCCCCCCACCCCCGTTAGGTCTCGGTCAGCGTCAGAAAATTCTCTCCAGTTCGCTCTGCGAGTCTCTATTGACCAATTCTCCCATTCTCCCTCCTCTAAGCTCCTGTTAAGTTGATGACTCCAGCGGGCACCGTCGCGGGACCGCAGAATCGCGGGCCTGGTGCGGACGTTCCCGTTCTGTCGGACCAGTTGGACCCAGGTGTGTCCTATTTTAGACGGGACCTGGCAACCGGCTGACCGAGATCGGGTGGCATGTGTGACCGAGACCTGGTGGTCAGGCGACGCCCGAGGCGGACTTGTCTGTGAGGTGGAGTTGCGTTTTGTGGCAGCCGCCCAGCAGGCCCCATCAGTATTACCCACTCAAACCGTTCCCTCTCTTAAAGCGGCGCTGTCGCTGAGCTGTAACAGCCGTCTGAATCACGGCATGAATTTAGTCATTCGCATAATTGAATAAAAATAGTGCCAATAAACCAACAGTATCTAGGTGGACGTTGGATGTGGGCATAAGAACAGGAAGGACGAGACCCCGGTGCTGTTGGAGTGATGTACGGGCAAAGCCCGACTTCTACCAGTCTTCCTCTCACCCCGCCGCGGTTGGCCAGCCCACTGTCTGTGTCCCGGCCTGCCCCTCTTTCCCCTGCCGCCCCCGCGGGCCCGCCGCCCGTCCGGCGTCCTCGACCCGAATACCAAGCGGCAAACCTTTATCTGGTTTTCAAGCGGCACCCCGAGCCGGCGTCGCTTCGAGAGTCTCAGTACGCTGCTCGGCTAGTGCCGCTATCGAGAGTCTCTCTGGGTCTTGCAACCCCCGATAGGCTGGTCCATCACTGATCTAGATCACCATAATTTGAGCCTTGCACCATCGAAAACGAATCTGTTGCAAGGCTTTACAACAACGGGTTTTCTCAACACGCGGCACCCGTCGGTGGGCAGGTCGGCCGGCGACCTCCACGCCGGTTGGCGTACGGGGCCGGACCAGCCGGCCACCATAGCCGGCTCGGCCGGCCACCGCAGCCGGACCGGCCGGCCACCGCAGCCTGACCGGCCGGAGGCTCATGCGGCCGCACAGTCTCCGCGGCTGTGAATGGCAGAGTGCCCCGAGGCTGTCCCGAGTCTCTGATCGTCTCCAACAGCAGGAGATCGCAGACGGGCCCGTCGTTCACTTGCCAACTCTCTCAGGTTTCTGGCCTGTGACCTCGTTCTCGAATCTCTGGGCGGCGAAAATTTTGACAGACGGCGTTCCGCGGCGCATTCATGGCTGTGCGCGCCGAAGTTGTCCATTGCTTCTAGAGGTTTGAAGGTCATCAGTAGCGCCCCCGCGGTTCATGACCTTTCCGAAGGCCTTCAAGGATAAAGCAACGACAGGTCGAAAGATCGAAAGTCACGTGACACACCATCTTAAACATGGCATATCACAGAGACAATAAACTGATGTATGTAATGGTCGTGTGAATGTCATTTAATGTCTTGTCTGGTCAGTTTTTCCTTTCCTTCCCTCAGAGTCCTTCAAATAAACATCACAGACCTCACTCAGTGTCCTTAGAACATGTCAATATCATGACCATTCAGAAGGCTGTATGTGCAAGATCACACAGGGCAGGGATGTTACCTTCTAAAATTCGTTGGGGGGGGGGGGAACTGAGCCGATAAGGCTAACCTAACCCACTCCAAAACCTGATTTCTCCTCGATCTTCGGTAATTCAAACTTGCGTCCCTCGATGCAAAATGTGTATACTTGCTCGCAAATACTTCATTCATTCCAAATAGTTTTGATGGTGGAGATATGACCTTCCGTAACAGGCTGATGGAAGCCGCATTTTTTTTGTGAACAGCACAGAATTGGATGCGATGCGCAGAAAAAAGCATTAAAAGTTCGAGCCCTGGTGATCAACGAAAATAGGTGCGGTCCATCGGTCATCGCAGGTGACCCGCGACGCCATATAGACGGTTTCATGTAGGCTGGAGCAGCCTGACGCTTCAGTGCAAACGCGAGGCACAGCTGGTCGAGATTGAGGAGTTCGATGTTACCAGCCTATATAAACAAACCGTGATCACGAACGCCAGCTGCTAGTTATGAATGCGTGGTCGGGCATAAATGTCGCCGATAGCTACGCATAGTGTGACTATGATGCGTAATATGGCGATTAACTATAATATTCCATCTGCAATAGAGTGTGGCGGATCGTAACACGTGGTGTGCTTTGATAGGGTTTGTGGTTCCAAATTAAAATGTCGCTCTCCCGAAATTGTGTAAGGCTGCTAATATATGAATAGCATTATCATGACATCGTTATGTTTTGCTTCCAACATTCTTATTGCCGTTCTTGTAACAGTGAACTTTCACTCGCCGATCCTTGCAATCAGTCATCAAATCTTTCTTACTTATGTTGTATCTTACATCTCCCGGCTTACGTCACCGCCGGGCCAGAAGTCTGTGTCACCACGGGCTCAGATGTTTGTGTCACCGCCGGCTCTGTGTCTGTGTCTGCCGGGTCTGTGTCTGTGTCTGTGTCTACCGCGGGTCTGTGTCCCCTACGGTTCAGACGTCTGTGTTCACCGTCGGAAAACTTCGCAACGGCGGCGAACAAGAAACGTGCCGTTGCGTTGCTGTTTTGTGCTGCTGTGGCACACCACCAGGTGTGCCACGGCAGCACACCTGCAGCACACTCCGCTCCCACCGGACTCTGTACTGAAGCCGTTTGGTGGACGGCTTCAGCACAGAGCCCGGTGGGAGCGGAGGGTACGTATGTGGTCGTGCCGCCGTTGATAGCTTGTTTGTAACGATCGCTTAGGCAGGCTACCGGTTATGAAAACCAGATACGTAACTGCGCATTCAGCTTAAGGAGGTATAATCTGTTTTGACGTCATCTGATGACTTGGAAACACAAAAACAGCCCAACCTGGCCAAAAGTCACTGATGACCTGACCACAAGTACCTTGTGTTAGTTGCGTACATGCTTGGTGGAAGCATGCTTGGTGATATGTGCCACTGTTCACATCAGCCGAGAGAGAGACGACGATACGAACCCGCGTGACTGCCAAATACGGCACCCACACATTCGAAATCGTGTGATCGTCAAACACGGCACCCGGACATCCAAACGGCGATATCTCGCCTTTATCCGTCATGCGGCTCGTGCCAAATCGTCACTGAATTCACACGCTGTCACTGAGTGAAGCATAGAGGTACGAAGACAACGATCCAAGAGCGGATAGCCGATTTGGCCCATTCGAGTCATGCATCAAGCTGTGCATGGCTGCCGACCGATTCAAAGCATTTGGGTCATTCGGTGCGTTCGCAGGAGTTTGGTAAATCTGACATCCGATTCCACCCGTCCGAAAATCGTTACATGTTTCCCAGGTGGTTCAAAAGTTTGATGCGAACACATCAAGTAAGTGGAACGTCCAGAACCCGGTGTAAGCACAAAGTTCTGCGAAGGAGCCGAACGTGCCTGTTGTTTCAAAACCGCTGGTAGGAATGTGAGGTTTTACGAGTGGTTGAATCGGCTGCTTCCCATCAAACGCCCCATGTGAATGTGATGAATATTCTACTCATGGTGCAGACTTTCGCGAAAGTGACGAATGGGCTGCCAGCTTTAGCTCGTGGGAGGATAGCGAGTATAGCTCCAGCCTACACGCTGCATCTGTCATCGCTATGGCTGCTGCTATTCACAACTTAGCTCCAGCATTGTATCGCCCAATATAGCCGGTGTCAGCACTCCCATGGATGAAACCTTCCATAAACTGGGGAGAGGAGGGGGCGGGCGAGCACCCTCGTCGATATCACCGTGGTTCAGAATGGCATTCCAGTGAAGACAGAGTCAAAGAAGAATTGCACGCGCTTGTTAACGAAGTCAAAGAAGCACCATAGTCGCTCTCTTCTGGTTGTGGTCTAACCGCAAGGCATTTTGCGTAGCCTTCAGGTCATTTCTCCGGCGAAAACATCCTAAATCCACGCGTTCCTGCTCGCCGCCGTGCGACACCATGTACTCAACGCATGCATGCAATGGTCGCCGCCGGGCCCCGCCGGCCCTCCTGCAGCGCGCCGTATAGCCGTCCAAAGGTTCTCCGCTGCGGCGGCGGCGAACCGCTTTCTGCAGCGCTTGCCCCGCGTGCCTTACCGGCGGTCCGACCCCGGCGGGGACAGAAACTCAACAGATCGGGAATACGTGATGTTGTCTGAGGCGATACAAGACATTTGGCGCCCCTGCAGCGCGCTGAACTATGGTTTTTCAGTGAAAATTTTCAGTTGTCCCCCACTGCGTTTTCCTGCACACGTCCCTGCGCCCCGCCCACGCCCCGTATGACCGTGGAGGAGCGTGGCCGGCGGTGACGCGGCGCCTGGCCACAGATGATCGCGGCGAGGCGTCTGCGGGGAGTGACGCGTCCGGCGTGTGCTGCATAGAGCCGCGCGCACGCTCGGCTCGGGCGGCTGGGGCCGCCGCACTCTGAGCAGGGGGCTGAGCGGCGGTACTGAATACAAGCGCGTGATGCGGCTCCCCCAGCCTGTAATTCTCGCCAGCTGACCTGGCGCCGGCGCGCCGAGCTCATCGTGAACACTTTGGCTGGTGCAGATGGAGATTTAGTGTGCGATTATATCTTGGAGATGATGGGTGCAAGCGGAGGGCAGATGAGCCCCTCACCGAGCGCTGTTCAGCGAGGCCGACATGAGCCGGTATGCCCTGCTCTGCGGCCCTGAGGACGATGCAAGGTTCTCAGCGGGGGCCGGCATGAGCCGGTGTGCTCTGCTCTGTGGCCCTGAGGACGATGCAAGGTTCTCAGCGGGGGCCGACATGAGCCGGTGTGCTCTGCTCTGCGGACCTGAGGACGGTGCAAGGTTCTCAGCGGGAGCCGGCATGAGCCGGTATGCTCTGCTCTGCGGCCCTGAGGACGATGCAAGGTTCTCAGCGGGGGCCGGCATGAGCCGGTATGCTCTGCTCTGCGGCCCTGAGGACGATGCAAGGTTCTCAGCGGGAGCCTATATGAGCCGGTATGCTCTGCTCTGCGGACCTGAGGACGATGCAAGGTTCTCAGCGGGAGCCGACATGGCCTCAGCAGACACAGACGCCGCCAAAAGCAGCCCCAATAGACCAGATACAGTTAGGAGAAGCGACAGTGTCGCAGCTCAGTGTGAGATGATGTTTTGACGGCGCGGAGATATAAACCGCTGTTTTCACGCTTCTTCGTCACGCAGTGGTTATGCTCGGTGGGAACCCCTTCCCTGCTAACGTTTTTAAAACGTTTGTTTGGTATTTCAGCATGGCTTACCAACACACCTAGCACAACTTTGCTCTGTTCAGCATGAAACCTTTCCACTTGTTGCATTTCGGTTGCGATCCGTCAAAGCCCTTCCTCCCCCTTCATAAGCAATGTAATTTATGACTGCCTTCCTTAGTCCTGAAGCTCGTCCAGGTTTCGGTTCATGGTCGAAAGAGTGGTGATCAGGAACATTTTGACTCGCTTCTTTTCATGCATCGTCATTCACCAAACGTCAAGGTTTCCCCAACAGTTTCGGCCCGGCTGACAAAGTGCCGTAGCAGGAAGGCCCGCAGTGCTAGGGTTCCCGCACCCCCGTGGCTCCGGGGCGGTGTGACGTGTGACGGCGGGCCGCCCGTTACGGCGGTGTGACGTGTCACGTCCGTACGAAGCCCGTTGTTCCCTTCCCTGCTAAAACGGCACGGCGGCGCCGGGCGGGAGTCAGTTCCCAGGCCGGCCCCTCCCTCGCGGTCGGAGCGGCGCCAGTGACCCACAAACCCAGCTGGCGGCCCGGCGTGCCTCGGCAGCCCAAGCCCACTGACCTCCTCCGACCTGCGGCCGGCGCGGCGCCGCTCTCACACGCCAGGCGGAGGGCGGCCGGCGTGTGCCCCGACCGGCGGCGGGCCGGCCGGCGCCGCCGCGCGCCGCACCCCACCCGCTGGCTGTGAGCCCCGCTATTGAGGTCGTGACGCGGTGCGGTGAGTGGCGAGTAGCAATACACCGTACTTGCCAGAGTTGTACTCAGTGGCTTGTACTAGTCACGCTCGTCGCCGTTGCATGCTTATCTGGCGTGTCTGTTCTCGAGAGGGCCGCTGTCGCTCTGGCTCTATCTTCTCATCCAGCTCCGACAAGTTACGGGACTGTGGCCACCCGACAATCACGGCCAGCGGGCTTCGTGCATCCACAGGTTCGCATCTACATCTCATGATCGTAATGGAAGGGTGAAGACAGCTGAGCTCCCGATAAACGTGGGAGAGTTTCCCCGCTGACCACACCCGGCCCGTGCCACGTGAGCGCGTCTTGGGCTCGTGAACGGCGAGGCGCGGTCACCAGTCGACATGTGGCAGGGGATACCTCAGTGTGCGCGCGAGCGAGAGAACTGATCCCAATCGATAGGAGCCGGATACAGGTCACGGGAGGCAGGTGACGTCACCATGTTGTACTGGTCAAGCCGTCCGATGCGTATCGCTCGCCTTGTTCAGGTCAGGACCGGATCTGACGCGGTCACCGAGCGGCGCCTGTGTTACCAACTGCCGGCCGGAACGTGCGGGGTGGCGCGCGCGGACGGCGGTGTCGGACGCACCGCGCAGGACTGCTGCTCGCTCGTCAACATCGTCTTCGCAAGGGAAAGCTAGCTGTTACGCTTCCGGTGGAACACCGACGCGCTTCTGCTGCTCGCGCCTTCCTTCGGCCTTTGAGCTGACGTGAGCTCATGGTCGTCTGCGTACGTTGCGGGCGGCTCGGTGGATCCCACCGCTGCACAAAAAGGGACTCGCGGCAAACAACAGAAACAGACGTGTGCGCCGAGCGGCGCTTTAGTCAAGAATGGACGGGGCACTGGTGCATCACAGCTACACCAGACCGTCACACAGTGGGCTTAGTCCTGGGCGCAGCTCTCGATGGGTGGAGACGCGTCTGTGATGTCCACAGTTTACATGTAACGGAACACGCGAGCACATTTGTTAGAAACAGCAGCCTAACGAACCAAAATATTTTCATGTGCACGCAATCGGCCGGTGCTGCCTCTCTCAACCTGTCTGCCACCTTTACGTCACAGAACACAGTGCCTGCATTATACGACCTCTAAAACTTGCATTCATTTTACGTGGAGACCGCAAGCCCAGCGAGTCTTACTTGAACCTGGAGAAGACGGTCAGTTTGAGTGGTCATGCTCTGCCTGGCTAGCCGTCACGCTTTCCAGCAGCTTTCAACAACTGCTCGTAGGCTCAGGTGGATTTCAGCGACAAGAAGCCAAATTCTCTAAAATTGGTGCGATCGCATTACTAGGCTTTTGCATACAGACTATTCAGTCAGGTGAGCCAGCGATATTGCAATACCACTGTAATGTCACGTCTCTAGTTGAATTCACTCGGGAATTGCAAATTTGCTAAGGGAGAAAGCGGTGAAGAACACAGATCAGGGGAGAGTCCAGGTCTCGATGATCCAGCGTCGCGGCGAGGCAGGATGGACGTACTCTGACTGATGAGAAAGCCGACAGTTGCGCGGGCAGAGATGTGAGTCCATGTGTTCAGAGCAGGATGGACGTACTCTGACTGAGGAGAAGGCCGACAGTCGCGTGGGCAGAGATGTGAGTCCATGTGGTCAGAGCAGGATAGACGTTCTCTGACTGATGAGAAGGCCGACAGTCGCGTGGGCAGAGATGTGAGTCCATGTGGTCAGAGCAGGATAGACGTTCTCTGACTGATGAGAAGGCCGACAGTCGCGTGGGCAGAGATGTGAGTCCATGTGTTCAGAGCAGGACGGCCGCACTCCTATGTGCACAAACCGTGGATGTGCCCGTTTTGAAGCGTTTTAAATATTGATGTCAGATCTCAGCAACCAGGGCAGACGTGGGGGTGACGCCACCTGACGCTTTGTGCAAAATGTCGACTGCGATTCACTGACGGATCTGAAATATGTCCTTCTCGTCCGTTCACCAGTAATCGGCTGGGAGGCGGCTTGTGCCACTGCTTCCGAAGCCCAGCTCGATTGCAAGACGCGGTGGCCCAAATCGAGGAAGATTTGGCCACAAGAATTACTCGGGCGTGCATCCTCTCCAATGCGACCAGTATTCACACAAAATGAACGCTTTTGCTGTGTTTTAGCCACGATTGCAAACCCGTGAATCGCTATGTAGTGTAGTGGCGCGCAGGCGCTGCAGCGTCGCCCGTCGCCTCGCCCGTCTCACGCCGCGCGAGGCGCTCATTGGTGGTATCCAGGTCAGCTTGGGCCACGTCTGTAAACCGCACCCAACGTGTCGTTCTGGCCGCCCCAGTATGGCGTGAATGGCGACCTGACGGTGACCTCCGCCGTCCACAGCTGGGGAACCATACGTACGATGCCAACTTGACGTCGTACGCCATGTCCTCGTACGACCTGCGGTGGAACCGCTGCAAGGAGTTCCTGGAGGAGCTGGAGGTGACCGAGGCGCTGACGGAGAGCTTCACCGACAAGATCAACATGGAGATCCTCCGGGAGAGCGTGGCCACCTATATTCGCGGCTTCAACCACATGGGGTGAGGTTACACACTGCATCACCGCCCTTAACGGTCAGCAGAAACGAGAAAAAAGTGTTCCATATCTTTGCATGAGCTAGCAAACTGTCCAAAGGTATACGCTCGCATATATATATATATATATATATATATATATATATATATATATATATATCTCTCTCTCTCTCTCTCTCTCTCTCTCTCTCTCTCTCTCTCTCTCATTTAAAAAACGTTGGAATATGATGACCAATTTTTGACCGACTATTTTTTAGTTTGACCATGACACGAGAACCATGGTACGATGTAATGAGCGCAGCCTTAAAGTGATGACAAATGCATTTCACGCCATCGCGTTCGATAATACACACAAACACACACACACACACACATGTATATATATATATATATATATATATATATATATATATATATTATACGGCCTGCTGTTAGCCGCACGTGGCAGCGGGTGGCGTACGAATGCCTATCATCAGCGCGTTAGTCAGCTCATGCGACCCTGACATACACAACGGTGCTCCGTTCTCCACACCGAACTTGACCAGCTCGCGAGGCTGCAACGCCGCGGTGCCTCGGTGCAGGAACATCTGTCTGCACCTCCGTGCAGACCAGCAGGCAGCCGTTGGGTGGAGCAGATGTCAGGCGCGGCTCGACGCGCCCCGGCGGCGAGCCGGCGCGTGTCGTGACAGCGGCCGACAGCGCACGCGGGGCGGGGGCGGGCCCGAGCTGGCCGGTCCTGGCTGACGGGGCGGGGGCGGATTCGAGCTGGCCGGTTCTGGCTGACGGGGCGGACCCGAGCAGGCCGCTCCTGGCTGACGGGGCGGGGACGGGCCCGAGGTGGCCGGTCCTGACTGACGGAGCGGGGGCGGATTCGAGCTGGCCGGTCCTGGCTGACGGGGCGGGTCCGAGCTGGCCGGTCTTGACTGACGGGGCGGGGGCAGGGCCGAGCTGGCCGGCCCTGGCTGACGGGGCTGGGGCAGGGCCGAGCTGACCGGGCCTGACTGACGGGACACGCCAGGGCGGCGGCTGGGCGTGGCGGCACTGCGGTCAAGAACCACACCCCGTCCCGGCCGCGGTGAGCGCTGACACTGCGGCCAGCCAAGCTACAGCGGCGGCACCGGGGGCAGCTGGTGATGATGGTCGCCAGCCTGAGGCGGGCCTGGAACCGTCCAGGCGGCAAAAATGCATCGCAAAATCCGGGATCTGAATGCTGTTGTAAAGAATTTTCTGAGATGAGATCCGCCCATGGGATTCAGGCTGGATAGCCTCCAGCTTCCTTAGAAAGGCCGCCATGCTCGAGCATGTCGCCCGTAGCACGCAACAGGCAGGCCGGCCGCTTTCACTCCCAGCGCGTCGACCGCGCTCGGTGAGTCGATCACGCAGGTGATGCCAATTATCTGGCGCAACTGGGCCAATCAAAACATACTCCGAGTCATTAGATGGCGGCCTCCGTGCAGGCAGGGTATCAGAAACAACTGCTGTGCACGTACCAGGTGCCGACCCCTGTCCAGTCAGTAACGCGGGGCCAGACGCCGATCTCTGGCGGGACGTTGACCTCTGACCTTTGTGACGTCTGACCTTACTGCCCGTTCCGTACGGTAAGCCGTTTCCGGTCGGCGGCGGTGGCCTCCGACAGACGGGTGGGCAGAGTAGGTGGTATTATCTCGTCACTGGCTTCCCCATTCCTCGGAGGAAGATTTCGAAAAACCGGCAGTATGCCGACGGACAGCGCCAGACAATAAGTCGGGTAAGGGGACCTGTGCTGGACTCTGCATGTAGCTGGTGATGGCATCAACGCCGGAATTGACCAACTTTTCGCTGAGTCAGTCGTTCGCTGATACATGAATGATTTTTCACCTTCCACAATTAAAAAACTTACGTGTCCCATGTTCATAGAATGTGGAGTGCGATCACGCCATTTGTGGTGATATGGTAGTGTTCCAGGGATGGTCTGATCAGGAAACTCACATTTAAAAGGCTTGAACTTACCGCAGTACAGTTGTATAGAATCAAACTACTTTCATCGGCGGGAATCGCTACAAAAGCAATGCTATTGACGTTACTCTTAAGTGCACAGAAGATGCCACGGAGGTTACCTTGGTCACTTTCTCTGTTACTTGTTAAACGGGACTTATAAACAAGTCTGAAAGCGGTCTCATCCCCTTCCCTTATCATTTGTATTCTCCTATGACGATGGTACGAAATTCTGGTCAAAAGACAAGCCACCTGTTAACTAAGAGAGCCATGACTTAGCTCTCACTGTGCTCACAACAGTGCGTGATCAGCTATGTTCACGTAACATCGAAGTGGTCAGCAAACTGCGGAATGACAAGATATTTAACTTGCTTTCACTGTGTTTGATTCTTACAATATGTGCACTAATAACTGTTCGTGTGGCGCTTAACATGATTGCTGTGCCGCGAAAGGAGGAAGCGAACACACACTTACAAGCAACAAGAGATTACCTGGCGGTTCCTGAAAAAGTTTTACGTTCGTGTCATGGAATTCGCCATGACCACATTCTCATGCATTATAAACGTACTCTTAGCCTATAAAACATGTTGCTATGTGACCACATGACACAGCGTGTCACTGCGTGACACCGTGACGCGTGTGTGTGGCACGCAACACGCCCGGCGTCGGCGGCGGCGGCGGCGGGGGGAGGGGCGGGGCGGACGGCGGCGGGGGCGGCGGGGAGGGCTCGCGCCGCTGGCAGTGGTGCGGCACGCCCCGGTGGAACACCGCCAGCCAGCACCATCCGCCTGACGCGGCGCCTTTTAAGCGCTTACACTTAACAGCATTTGGACGATGTTGGCAATGAACGCGGCGGCGCCATGGCTGGCCGGCAGCCCCCGGAGCCCCGTCACCACCTGTCCGGGCCCCCGCCGACCGCCGCCCCTCAGCGCGCCGCGCCAGCGCTGCCGCGGCTGGTGGAGCAGGGAAGCTGACACCTCATCCGGCATGAAACTGGCAATGCGTTCTCTCCACAACAAGCTTCCATGGCTGCCTTTTAAGCACCAGCCGCTCCAGATTCGTGACTGACAAGTGGTAGTTCAAATTGGTAGCATTTGTGTAGCGAACAGTCGCGTCTAATCAATTCTTGAAGTTGGATGCAAAAATGCTAGATGTTTTCCATTTGTCCACGTTATTTTATTATCTTGCAACTTTGCCTTAGCAGCAAAAGTAAGGTAGTAACAAACTAAGTTATAACAGAGCAACGAACCACAAAAGAAGTGAAAGTTCATCAGTGCGTTGCATTTTTAGAAGAAAAAGGGCCTTCTGTTACTAAGCAGTTTGGTTCGCACCAGAAAACGGAGTAACGGAGCACGAACCATGCCCACGTACGGCTCCTTTTTGACTAAGCCTTCGCGGCCGGAGGATCTGTGATTGCAGACAGGCGTCCTCAAAAACGAGATGGGCCCGGCCGGTCGGGCTGCCTAAGTCACAAAATGACCGGTTATTTTAATTAGTCTAATTAAATCGACTAGTTTTAGCTAAATTTAATTCTCCCGCAGAAATACAAGCTGTCATTTAAGCCGATGCAGAGGGGTAGTTTCGCAGCATGAGTTTTGGGGAGGGCCTGAGCAGTGAAAAATACGCAGCATACCCCTGCGGCCCGAAAGACGCGAGCAAACGGATTGTATCAGGACTTGAATTATTTTCTTCTCAAAGTACTGGGTGGGGTGCGAGGAGAAGGCTGGATCCCTGAATGGAAAACTAAACCCCTGGACTGATGGAATTATTATATAATATTTAACTACCTCCATTCCGGGACGTCATGGCAGTGTAGACACACCGCAGACGCAGTATCGCCTAAAAGCTTGACACCATTGTTTTGTGTCTTCGGATGTGCTTTCCACCGACGTTTGGAACATCTGTTTACCGACGGTCAAGTGACAGGTGCACTGACGGTTCAGTGGCAGGTCAGGGTCCTGTCTGACGTTTGGCGTGTCGGCCAGGTTCCTGTTTCCCATCTCGTACCTGGACGGAGTGGGCACCGGCCTCTCGCTGCTCGTCGGCTACATGAAGTTCAACAACGAGGCCGACTACCGCACCCTGCTCCTGAGGTCAGTGTACAGCACAGCACGCGCAGCGGAAGCCAGTGCCGCCGGCCCGCGAGCAATGCCGTCGCCACGCCATGCTTGTTCAACTGTACAGAAGGGCGTAACGCAGAAGCGTTGGATCATTAGGCAGCCAACGCGCGGTCACGCGGCCGCCGCGGCGACTGCGGCGACCGCGGCGACCAACGACGACCGCGGCGACCAACGGCGACCAGCGGCGACCACGGCGACCAACGGCGACCGCGGCGACCAACGGCGACCAACGGCGACCGCGGCGACCAACGGCGACCACGGCGACCACGGCGACCAACGGCGACCAACGGCGACCAACGGCGACCACGGCGACCAACGGCGACCGCGGCAACACGCTCGTACGCTGCTCGTACGCTGTGTGCGCCGCCGCCGTCGCGTAGGTCTGCGCTGACTGACCGATTTCGCTAGTCTGTCAGCGTCGCCGCGGTGTCCGAACAGTACGAGAACCGGTGGCCGGGATCGTGGCCGGGTGAGACCGGCGCCGCGCCGCCGTGTCCGCGTGACCCGTAGCCGCCGCTCTCCTCGACACAGCTGACCACGCCACCATCTGGGCCAGTTTCTGCATGACAGTACCACGCTGTGTCGGCTACCGAAACGGCACGCGGGTTCACACGGGTGGCAGCCATCGGGAACAATTCATAGCCCAGCTCACGGCTGGCCGTGTCTATGCTTGGTCATATTATTTGAGCCGCGTACTGCGGTACGTGCTGTATGTTCCACCGAGCGATAGCTGATGTTTGACGAGTTGAGTTGAGGACTCTGGGACTGGTCCCCTGTATGTCTCACCGGCGCGGGCACTGACTGCCGAGAGTCCGCTGTATGTCTCACCGGTGCGGGTACTGACTGCCAAGAGTCTGCTGTCTGTCTCACCGGCGCGGGTACTGACTGCCAACAGTCCGCTGTCTGTCCCGCGGGGCCGGGTAATGACTGCCAAGAGTCCGCCGTATGTCTCACCGGTGCGGGCACTGACTGCCAAGAGTCCACTGCATGTCCCGCCGGTGCGGGTACTGGCTCTCGGATGTCCGCTGTATGTCCCGCCGGTGTGGGTGCCGATCGCCATGCTTCCCCGCCCCCCAGGCTGCAGGAGTTCCCGCGGCAGGCGGCGGAGCTGGAGGAGCTGATGCGGGAAGGCATCAGCCAGGAGAGGACGCTCCACAACGTATCCATGGTGAGCGGAAGGGCCGGTGCGCCAACGCCAGCCCACGCACACCTCGCCGCCGCCGGTGCGTCGCGCCAGCGGCAGCGTCTGCGAACGGGTTCCCCGGCGGAGTGATGCCGGGAAGACTCTGCCAAAACGAAAAACCCTTGCAGTGCCCTGGGACGGCAACTGAAATATGTTTGAGACTATAAAGGGATGTCCCGTCATATCATACGCTATATACCATGCATCATATCAGACATATGAGATACAGAGAGATAGTAGGATGGGTGGTACAAGGTGGGAACACGTCATGTCGGACGACGGATTCTTAACGGTACCTTACATAGATGAGCACTTACTTTGGAAAACCAAACACATCGTTAGGCAATCAAAGCTGCGCGTACGGATAGATTGGAAGAGCGACAATTAGTTAAAAGGGTTTCTGGTGAAGTTGTCTTCAAAGAAGCCCGGGCGGAAATAAAGTGCCCGGGTGGAAATAAATGTCATTTATGTAAGCTTGGGTTTCAAGGGGTTTGCACACAAAATAATGTGGTTTACAGAATTGAGTGCGAACCGTATGAACAACATGGAAGGGACATAGTCTATGTCGGAAGGTCCATGCGCCCTATTCGTCTGAGGTATGAGAAACACCTGCCAGACGCTAAAAACAAACGAGACAAAAAAACAACTAAAAACTGAAAACAAACCAAATACCCCTTAAAGACAGTAGTACTAGTCTTATTCCTCGGAAGAAGCAGGAGAATGGAGATAAAGTTTAGTTGATATTTCGGCAACATGCCTTTCTCGAAACAATAGCGGAAGTGAGTTATTATTTTCCTTTTTGGACTGTCCTGTGCTCTATAGAAGACTTTGAGCTCTAAAAGTGGCATGGCGTACATGCCTCACTGGATTTCAATAGAGATTCAATAGCGATACATTTTAGTAGAGATTCAGTAGAGATTTCAATTTATAGCCTCACTCACTGGAAGACCTTAACGTATAAGGCTCATCATGGCTGATTATACAAGCGTGATAAGTGCCTTGACATGTGGTGCGTGTTGTCTTAAAATCGTTAACATTTATGATTGATGCACGACGCGTGATGTGCGAAATCTGTTTAAGTGAAATCGTAGTAACAATTTTTCAGGAATTCACTTCTGCTATTTTTACGAGAAAGGCATGTTGCTGAAATATCAACCTACCTATATTTCCATTCTCCTGGTTTTTTCCGAAGGATAAGGCTAAAACTACTGTCTTATCTGTGTAACTAATGTTCCTCGCTAATGCACCGAACAACTTACAAATACCCCTTTCGGTAACTATTTTTGGGCAAGGCACGCTCAGGCTGAAATCCATTGAGGCATGTACCCTATGCCACTTTTAGAGATCAAAGTCATCAACGAAGCACAAAACCATCCAAAGAGGAAAATAAGCAAATCATTTCTTATAAAAAGTCGGCGACCAAACCTTAACGCACAGGGCTCATCATGGCTGATTATACAAGCGTGATAAGTGCCTTGATATGTGATGTGTGTTAGCTTAAATTCGTTTGGATGTATGACTGATACATGATGCGTGATGTGCGATGTCTGTTTAATTGAAATCGTTTGCATACATAACTGATGCGTGATGTGTGGTGCCTGTTTACTTGAAATCACTTACATGTTTGAATGGAGGGTGATGCGTGATGCCTGTTAACTTGAATTAATTTACATGCACACGTATTTTTCGCGTATTCTAGTTCTTCGTTGGATATACACTATATCGTAGTAACGACTGGCCATTGTTCCTTGTTTAATCCCCTGAATTTTGGTGGCCTATAAAAACTGTGGCGAACTGTTTCCAAAAAAGCCTGCAAAATCGAGTAGGATCATCGGTAGGCAATTTTGAAATTACTTCCGCTATTCGTTTTGATAAAGGTATGCTACCGAAATATCGTTCTAATTAACGCATCTTTATCTCGATTCCTCTGGTTTTCTACGGATAACAAGGTTATTACTACAATCTCATCGATATGCATAATGTTCCTCGCAAATGCACTTAACGACTTAGGTACCTACAGACTCATCGTTATTGAAGTGCGATCCAGCCAGTCCTGAGAAAAGTGAGAACGGGGTGCTTTTGATTCGCCTCCTTCCACCGATCACCCTTGGGCTTGATGTTCAGCAAACCAGCACTCAGTGTTCCACAATACACGATGGCATGTATCGGTAAGCCATCTTACAAAACAGGTGCCTCATTGCGTAAGGCGTTAACAGAATCGAGTAAATCACGTCTAAAAAGGCTGCTTCAGTATACTTATCATGATGCCACTATTATTACGGCCCTAACGCTAAATGCATTCATAATGGCCCAGCAAGCATTCCCCATTAGCGGAGATGATATCTATATGGCTGCAAAACCAGCAATGTCTCGTCCTCTCGCACTTCTAGCGGTCTGTTTTTAGAAGCCTGTTTTTGGCGCGTTCAAAAGGATGGTCCGCGGCTGTAAGTGAAAGTTCCCCGCCTCAGGTGCATCACTCCCACATCGGATTGCGAACCATGACTGGCTAGACTTCTGAGTAACGGCGTTAGTCAGGCATGAAGAATGGCAGTGATATCACCGTGGTGACCGCAGCGTATCCTGTCATGTGGTGATGATGCCAGGGCTGCATGCATGAAGCGTCACGATTATTTCTAGATGCATGCATCCGTTCACATGTTCTGATTATAACCCCAGAGAAACACGGCAGCGAAAGATTATCGTTGCGCGCAAAAAGGTCTGTAAACCGTGACAAGCATATAATTTCAAACTACTCATTGCAAACCCTTTCGGCGCGCTTTACCCCAACAGCACAACCGCATAGACAACGCCAACGAATTTGCTGACTCAATTACTACTTGCTATAACTGTAAACTGCGACCACTCGACGTCGGCTCGAGGTTTTCCTGTGTCCACTGTCACGACGTCGTTAGCATCACCGCAGCAATTATGCATCTTTCTCCTCTTCCTCCTATACTGAAACGCCAGCTCCGGACCACTCCCACTGTAACTCGTCATGCCATGTCGTATTGTCATGTCGTATCGGCACAGTCATGGTCCGTATTGATATCTAACCTTGCAGTTAAATCGGACTGCCGTATCATCATAGAAGCATAGCTCTCCTGAAGCATAGAAGCATAGAAGCATAGAAGCCCTGCTCTCCCTCTCTCATCTTTATACTCATTCGCCCCCCTTCCTTCCTCTCTTTCTCCCCCCCCCCCCCCTCTTGCTCTCCATCGCTGTCGATGTAACGTCATCTCCACCGCACACCACCATCGCCCGGCTTGACGGGCACGGGTTGACTCCCCGATCGGCCGGCAGAGCTCAGTGCCGGAGCAATTTCGGGCGCTGGACGTACCCGTGGAGGAGTCCACCTTCTACGAGCCGTTCCTGAACATGCCGGACTCCATCAGCGCTGATGTTCAGCAAGAGCTGCGGCAGGAGGCCAAGAGGGTGATCATGGAGGACGTCATACAGACCTACAAGAACCTTGGTAAGACAGTGGAAGAGGGGGCGGCACCGTGCGCGGAATGCCGGGAGTCCGCGTGGTTTCCAGGCACGCGCATACACCAAGACGGACACTGGGGGGCCGTGGCGCACCGTGACACGTCTGACATGAGGTACGCATTTGCGTGCTGGGACCAAAGAGCATATCACCTGTGACGGACGTTCCTGGTTTGTTTCTTGGTGTCCTTGCGGTGCTGAAATCCGTTCCAGTGTTCCGGCCCAGAATGTCTATGGCCGCGTTACGGTAGCCTATGCCACCTCAGTGGCGTGTTTCGGTGGCCTGTAACACTTCAGTGGCGCATCACGGCGGCCTGTGACACTTCAGCGGTGTGTCACATGTGACACTTCAACGGTGTGTCACGCATGACACTTCAACGGTGTGTCCCATGCGACACTTCGATGGCGTGTCACATACGACACTTCATCAGTGTGTCGCATGTGACACTTCAACGGTATGTCACGCGTGACACTTCAACGGTGTGTCACGCGTGACACTTCACCAGTGTGTCTCATGTGACACATCAACGGTGTCCCATGTGACACTTTAACGGCGTGTCACATACGACACTTCAACGGTGTGTCACATGTGACGCGCCTCATCTGTGTGCGGCCCGAAAACCCATATGTCATCGGCATAATCGTAAATATGTGTCTTCACATGCGATGTCACCAATGATGTGCCACTCGCGGCCCGTATATCATGATCGAATGGGACATGCCATTTAGTCGTCCTGCTCTTGGTTTGCCACATGCGATTTTCGCTCAGGCGCCAGGCAAACGATAGGCGCCGTTGACGCTCCGCTCCAGCGACGGGCATTCACACACCAATACAGATTGCTTGAAGGTCCATAATGAGCCCGACAGCACGGTGTATTACCAGCTCACGCAAGTTGGTTATTTTTTTAGGAAGCCAGGAATCGTTTCATTGTGCGATCTGTGTAAAAATACACTTTCCCTGATCGACGCCCATAAAAACCAGTTGTATGAAACAGACTCAGACTACGAAGTAATTCCCAACCGATGCAGAATAATGCGAATAATATCACGTGCCGCTGACATCGTTCGACTCAACCCTTGCAGAGAAATTGGGGTGATTAAGACCACGTCACGGTCACGATACGCGATTTCAGCCGACTTCATCGAGACCGAGTACCTACCGAACACGCGGCCGGCCATAGCAGCGACATCTCTGCCCAACGGCGAGAACTACTACCGGGAATGTCTCCGGTTCCACACCTCGTCGGAACTCACGGCTGATCACATCCACGAGATCGGGCTGGAGGAAGTGAAAAGGATTGAGGGTGACATGAAAAAGGTCAGTTGATCGCCAGATCAGTACGCACTTGATAAAACAAACGAGGTTTGTCGAATGCGGTATCATGTCTGGCATTTCCTTCACCTTTGAAGGCGCATCTGCCTGTCGTTTTGCTCAGACAACAGCGCATGAGTGGTGTTTTCTACCCAGCCTGTTGCTAAACTAAAGGGCCGCGACACACCCTGATGTCAGCAGACAAGTAAACGTCACGCCTCGATCTCAGTACGGTGGCCGCGAGCGCCGGCTGACAGCGCTCGGTCATGACCTGTGACCGCCAGGTCGTCGACGAGCTGGGCTTCGGGGACATGACGGTGCAGGAGTTCTCCGAGAAGCTGCGCACCGACAAGAGCAACTACTACGAGTCATCCGAGGAGCTCATCGCCGGCTTCACCAAGATCATCCGGGACAAGATCCGACCCAAGATGATGAAGGTCGTGCTCGAGATGCCCAAGACGGACATCATGTAAGCGCCGCGTGCTTCTGTCGCGGCGTCGCCACCGACCTTGGTGCAGCTAAGGAATAATTAGTACAACTCGTAGCTACCTATTGTTGTCCTTGTTGTTTCTAACGGCGGGTAACACGTCTGCGACCGCAACCTATCTGCACGTCATTCATTTTCTGACATATCGACTGCAGACGGTCTTCCAAAATCTGGAGATATTTTTGCGACATTTGCCAAACCTAGGAAGCTCAAATGCACATTTACAGCCGGTCGGAGGTAAACTGCGAGAATGTGCACCGGACGGGTCAATCGCCTGTATTCGCTGCCTCTCGCCGTCAGCTGCTCAGTATCTGAGCTCGGCCGGAATGGGCCAGCCTTCCTCTGATCCTTGACACAGTGCATAACGCAGCCTGACACTGCCCGACACTGTTGATATGACCGACACGGCTGATACGGCTGACATCGCCCGAAGCTGCTGAAACTGCCTGGCATTGCTGACATGGCTGACACTGACACTGCTGGCACTGCACACCGCAGAGTGGACGTACTGCCGGACAATCAGAAGGACGGCATTTCGGCCTCCTACAACATCCCCGCCTTCGATGGCTCCCGTCCCGGCAAGTTCAAGATCAACAAGTACATCTTCGACGAACAGTGAGTAGCGCCGCCGCCGATCGCGCCTCGCTCGATTTGAGCTCGGACGCCGGCAGAAGCCTGTCGTACGAGTGCGATGGGCTTCTGAACTGCAGAGCTCCTGAGCTAAACTGCGGTGCTCCTGCGCTGACATGCAGAGCTCCTGAGCTGAACTGCAGAGCTCCTGAGCTAACCTGCAGAGCTCCTGAGCTGAATTGCAGAGCTCCTGAGCTAACCTGCAGAGTTTCTGAGCTGAACTGCAGAGCTCCTGAGCTGAACTGCAGAGCTCCTGAGCTGAACTGCAGAGCTCCTGAGCTGACCTGCACGTGCACAAGACAGCAATATTTGAAGTTACGTCGGTGTATGTGGTTACGATAAATATTATTAGTGTAGGTTCAGGGACAGCCAGGTCTTCGATAAGGAGCGGACTTCGCCGCGCTGAGCCCGAAGGGTGTCAGTGTACAGCGATGCGAGAGCCTTCTCTGACGGGTTGTTGGTCGTTGCTGTGAGCGTCCTGTGCCTCGCCGCCTCGCGCACCCGGGTCTGGTTTCTTTTGGTCTGGTTCTGTTTAGGGCCCTTTCCGCCAGTGCTGACCATCGGGGCTATGGGTTGAGGGAGAGGGGATAACAGTGGCGAGAATCTGCACCCACCTAGGGGTCGATGCGTCGAGATTTAGCCTGCTCAGGTACCTCTATGCACGGTATGCGCTCTACACAGGGTGGACGGGGAGAACTCTGTACGGTGTGGACGGGATCCCCGCCAGCGGTAACTTCTGCCCGCTCATGGCTGGTGCATACACTGGTGCCCAGGACAAACAGGACGTCGCGGGGATGCAGGAGCCTGTGTCTGGTCGCCCATTGGGATGTTCTGACGGGTCCTGTTTGGCGCAGGCCCAAGTACGAGATGACGGCCCTGTCGGCCCACGAGGCCAACCCGGGACACCACTACTACTTCTCCTACCTGGTGGAGAAGAAAGGTATGTCCCTGGTGGAGAGGAAAGGTATGTCCTACTGGACAAGAAAGCTATGTCCGTGGTGGAGAAGAAAGGTATGTCCCTAGTGGAGAAGAAAGGTATATCGGCTGCCTGCTGCACGGCATTGTCTGGCACGCGTGCTGGCAGGAGGGTATGGGGGGGGGGGGGGGACTGAGATCGGACTGCTAGGGCATGACAAGCCCACGAAGGCGCGAACCAAACACCAATAATCCCGCCTGAAGGCCGGGCATAAACACGATCAGCGTGCGTGCCTCAGGATCGGCGTTGGCAGAGCCACGCACGACTATCTCGCAGAACGCTTGTTCAGCTGATAGGTGGCTTTATTTTACTCGGCTGCATCCGGTGAACGCTGCGCTCATTTTGCAAAGAGGTTCTTCATTCGTGTCACGTTCATGATCGACGTGCGCCATGGTCCAAACCGTCATCTGCATCGCTGTCCTTGTACATCATCTTCGGCCCTTTCCTATTTGCGCAATCCTGGGTTAGACCTTTTCTACCGGCGATGGCGGGTATTCTTTTTGGTGATGGATCCTCAATTATCATGGGCAGACGTTTTCTACTGGCTTAAGCGGACAGTCTACTTGACAATAAATCATTGATTATCGGCTCCGCTTCATAAAGTCGATTATTTCAAATAAGATAAATTGATCACCCGTGACCAGTAAATGGAGGTCACCGAGCGGCTTAGTCGTTCGAAGAATTTGGCTTTAGGTGGAGAAGCTTAGTGTCATCTTCCTTGATGGGAAAGCTCTCCCGGTCCCGAGTTCTACCAAGGCGTGGCATAGGCTCATAGGCCCCGCATAGGCCACGCATTGGCCCGTAGGCCCCTGCAGTTACACCTGCCGATCAGCGACAGTAACCATTATGACCCCATGTAACAAGACGCGGCCAGCGCGCGGACGTCACTCCCGTGTGATGGTTTTCGTCACTCCCGTGTGATGGTTTTCGTCACTCCCGTCACTCCCATGTGATGGTTTTCGTCACTCCCGTCACTCCCGTGTGACGTCACTCCCGTGTGATGGTTTTCGCCCGCGCGTTCTCGTCTCGCCCGATCCGCGCTCTCGATCCGCGGCTCGCATCAGGTCGACAGCCGACGCGGACCTGATCGTTCCGCTTTCCTCCCGCTCTCTCCTCAGATCACGAGCTGGTCTGACCTGACCTGACCGTACCGTCTCTCTGCTGACTGACCTGACCTCACCAGGACTGCCGGACTTCCGTCAGGGCGGCGACAACGGCCCGGCCTACTCGGAGGCGCCGTCCGGCTTTCCGCTCAGGTCACGAGCTGGTCTGACCTGACCTGACCTAGACCTGATCTGGACCTGAGCTTACCATCTCTCTGCTGACTGACCTGACCTCGCCAGGACTGCCGGACTTCCGTCGGGCCGGTAACGACGGGCCGGCCTACTCGGAGGCGCCGTCCGGCTTTCCGCTGAACGCCGCCATCGTCGAGGGCTGGGCGCTCTACTCAGAGTACCTCGGCCACGAAATGGGGCTTTACGAGGACCCTTACGACAGGTGAGTGTAGGGGCAGCCATGCCAGCAGTATTCCTAAACCATCGGCAGTTAAACGCCGCCAGGTCGAATTGAGCAATTCGAAAGAAGCTCATGGGTACTGTTGATGGCTGGAGGACTCCATTTTCGATATGATCTTTCTTGGAGGCAATAACCTCAGAATGGTCTTTGTCTGGGACCGTCCTTAGATCGCTCGCAGCAAGAATGTTGCCTGAATGTCTAGACTGACACGGGACCCACGCGGCCCACGTTCAGGTACGGCCGGTACAGCCAGGAGATTTTCCGTGCGTGCCGCCTAGTGGTAGACACCGGAATTCACGCCTTCAACTGGACCCAAGAGATGGCGGTAGAGTACATGCTGAATCACACCGCATCGTCGCGGGTGCAAATTGAGGTGAGTAGAGCCACATCTGACCGCGGCCCGCACGCCATTCATCACTGCATGCACGCATGCTTCATTAACGCCAGATCTAAGTCAGCAGGCACCGTGCATTACGGCTCCACTTTGTAACTGTCCGTAACATGCGGTCCGCGTGTGTGCATAAGTAAAAGCGGCTTAACGACTTCGCCTGCGCGCTCGCGTGTCTGGCGAGCAGCCAGTGACGGCCTGCGCAGTGGCGCGGCTGCAGCGTTTGGCTCCTGTTCAGCCGCCGGCCTGGAACCGGGCTGCGCACTCTCAGCGCCGGCCGTGCGCCGCCGGCCCGTGCTTGCTGTCTCAGAGGCCCTGAGTCACGTTTGGTAATGAGTATCCGCGAATAGCCATGACATGGCTTAATGAGGATGTCAGCTGCCATGAATAGCTTTTACTGTGCTAATGCAGCCGAGCGGACTATATTGGGCAAACAGAAAGTACTACGAATACACAGTTGTCACTTGTAGGCCTACAACTGACGACGCCCCATACATACGGATCTTCACATTACGGCGAACACCCGCATCCGGCACATTCCGCCAATCCGGTGGTCGGCGGCCGACGTGAAGAACCGGGTGCGACGAACCTTGTGCAAATTCCAATCCCTCGTACTCATCTCGATTTTCACAGACATCTTGAAACACGTCCGGTACACGTTCTTACTTCACGTCCCGGGCGGGCACCGCCCCTCCGGCATATCCGCCCCCCCCCCCCCCGACCCCAAGCGTCCCTGCTCACTCCCCCGCCCTCCCACAGAACGAGGTGCGCCGCTACATCACGTGGCCGGGTCAGGCGACCGGCTACAAGATCGGCGAGCTGCGGCTGAAGGAGCTGCGCGCCAGCGCTGAGCGCGAGCTCGGGGATCGCTTCGACCGGCGCGTGTTCCACAAGGTGGTGCTGGACTGCGCCGGCCCTCTGGCCGTCATCGACCAGTGCGTGCAGCGCTACATCGCCGCCGACGGCGTGTGGGACGCCTGGGGCGAGCGGACCGAGCCCGACGCGCCGACGGCGGGAGCGGCGGCCGGCGCGGCGACCACCGCGCTGCTGCTGGCGGCCGGCCTCCTCCCGCGGCTGCTCTGAGCAGAGCCGGTCCGGCCGGCGCCCGAGGGTTGTGAAGGGGGGAGGGGGGGGGGGGGGGACGAGGCGGGCGTGGCGGCAGCTCACGGCCGGAGCTCGAGCTCGTGTGCCGCACATGATGATGTGACCGGGGCAACGAGCAGGGTCGTGAGGTGACCCGAGCAGGGGCGGGTGATGTGACGGCAGATGTTGTCGGCGGGACAGACGCAGCTTCTGCTGCCGCCTGACGGCGACCCGAACTGGCGCGAGACGTCAGCGACCGCCTCTCATTCGGGCCAGCCCCCTCCCCGCCCCCGCTGCGGGACAGAACGACAGGCGCGAGCGCGATCGCCTGGGCGAGTGTTTTTGTTGGTGGGTCGCGAGAATACACACGAGTGAGGCGGCGCGGGTGTGTGGCCTCAGGCGGCGTCAGCGGACGCGGGGAGGTCCGCTCGTCCGTCAGTCAGCCTGCTCTCGCGCCTCGGCACTGGGTCTTCTCGGGCCACAAGACACTGTTGTCTTCTCTCCTCGAAGGCAACTCCCGACGGCTCCGATCCTCGTCCACCTCACGTCAACCCATCGCTCGGCACCAACCCGGAGCCAATCAGCAAACGCCACATCGAATCATTCGTTTATCTGAACTGGTTGGCGACGCTGCAAGTATAAATGGTCTGACAAAGAACAAATAGGTACAGTACTAAATCGCAATACGCTCTTTGTGCACGGTTACATACACGTCTCGCCTCGCCCGCTCCCGGGCCACAAAGATTACGGAGCCAGCCCGTCCTAATCTTGGTCAACAGGAGAGACACAGTCAAGCCATTAAGTGCGCCGCGCGCCTCCGCGGCCCATAAAGCTTCCGGCGGCCGCGCACGCCGCCGGGCCCGGGCCGGGGCGCCGCACCGAGCCAAACTCAACTCCGCAGGGATCGCACCAGGCGGCTGCCGCCGGTCCCCCGCCTCTACAAGGCCTGACAGCGCTCACAAGGCTCGCCGCGCGCGCGCGCGCGAGCGCGTGTCCGCCCCTCTCAAACGTAAGCTCAAGCAACTGCTGACAGGAGCGACGCACACCCCAGTGGAATTCTTCAAAAATAACAATAACAAATTTGGTATACTTATGTTGTTACACAATACGGCATCTTGAATAGAATATAATTATCCTATGTACACACGGGTGGTGGGCGGCTGTGTGTTGGCACCTCTAGAGACGGGCGAGCGGGCTGGCCGTCGGGCCGGGCCGCCCGTGACGTCACCGCCCGGCGCCGCGCGGCCATCACGTGTGATCGGCGGCCGACTCGAACGTCAGACACGCGCTACTCGACGAGGCCGAGTCAAACGTCTCCGTCTGCAAGACAGAGGCGCGGTCATGACCTCGCGGCGCCGCCGGCCGGCCACAGGCACACGCGCTGACAGTCAGTCGGACGGGCGCGGCGCGCGCGCGTCGCCGGCGGCCGCTACGTCACCGGTACCTCGTGCGTCGACTCTTCCAGCGTGTCGGAGGCCGGCTCGCCGCTCTCCTGCGAACTCGTGTCGGGCCGCGACCGCGCACCTGCAAC